AATCAAGTATATTTTTAGAATATTGTGTTTATTGGATTTTATGCTTTTAAAAGAATCACTTGGTTTGTCGAGATTGTGATTGTAATGGTCGCTTTTCACTTAATATTTATTAATACTAAATATTGAACTTAATCATGATCAATTGACAATATCACATGATTTTCGAAACTTTTTTGGGTGGCGATTTTACCCCGGTCCATTTATCCATCGGATATCCAAATCTGAATTTATTCGGATATCCGTTTTCCGGATAATTATCTGATTACCCATCGGATTATCCGGATATCCGAACGATTTGGATTATCCGGATAATCGGATAAACGGATGACGGATTTATCCGGATTGGAACTCTAAACAAAACTATTATAATGTTATACAACTAAAAGTCTAAATGTTAACTTTGTTACACTATTTTGCGTAACAATCTCAAACCCGGACCCGGAGTTTCAAACCCGGATCTGGGTCTCAAACCCAAATCCTGGGTTTCAAACCCTGTCCTTAGGTTTCAAACCCGTACATGTGCCATTCTACCGAGAATGTCGTATTCAATGCTTTTACATATAGAAAAACAAAAATATAACATATTTTTCGCAACAATGTATATCAATTCTTGGAATTCGACCTTATCCAAAGCCCCTATTATTTTTAAAAATTGGACTTATTTGAAAATTATGATTCATTGTTATGTAAAGTTCGATACGTAATAATCGGATCTTGTCTACAAATCAGCCGAATTGTACTGATATGACGTACGCACATCTCGTTTTGAATGAAATTTTCATCTTGCATTTCACCAACAGCAGAGACAGTGCCGATCCAGAGTGAATCCCTCTCTCCTGTTATCAATAACAAGTTAAATTATTTATATTGGATTCAATTGTGATGGATATAATCCCTCCCAGTTTTAATATGTGTAACATTAACGGTCTCTGCTGTTTATTTCACCAACTGTCCTATTTGTACGTTCGTAGATATTGTATTGCAGAAATACAGTATATAGAGACTGTACTACATAGATTTCAAGAATATGCATGGTATGAACCCATTTTTGGTGGTTAGATTAGGTTAATTAGCTTAGGGAAGCGTTACTATTATTCTTTTTAGTGTTAAAATATAGTTTAAGATAAGCTATATGACAAATCTTTTTTGTTTAAAGAATTCCTTTTACAAACTGTACAATGCGTATTTATTTTATTAATTATACATATTTGATATTTATTTTGAATCATTACCCAAACTTTTAAGCAAATATTTTCTTGTTATATCGTATTTAATTAAGAACTTTGATGAGCTATTATTATTCTGAATTGTAAAAAAAAGCATGTAAATAGTTCTTTGAATTTGAATAACGATAATACTACAGACTAAAAGTTAAACTTTGTAATTTTATTATTGTAGTACGTACGTACTTGGATTTATTAAAAATTTTTAAATGTGCAAAAAATTCTGTAATTATTTTGGTTGGTTAATGCGCCACCAACCTGGCACACATTTTAGGGGTGCATTCCAATAGAACACAGAATACTTATGTCTAATTGGAAAATCTTATTGTAATCTGCCTTTTGAAGCTTGGACTTTTTTGTTCGACTCAGTTAATTGGTTGAAAACAGGTGTACTAGATATTCTATCTAATCGATAAACGAAATTGACTAAATAAATGAAATATCAAAGGAGTTTTTAAGACATCATTCTTTAAAAGCATAAATTAACATTTAATACAATGGTTTCGTCATACAAATTAATGGATCTTGGTGACATTTTATTACTATATTTATCAAAAAAAATAGCAAGCAAAGTTTCGATGCAATACCATACAATTTTCTCTAATTGTTTATTTGTAATTTTTTGTGTACTGTACACTTTTAAAATGAACTTTAGTTACGACTATAATTCATTATCAAAGGTATATCGTAAATCATTTCCATATAAAGGAGCAATTTGTACACGTATATGTTTTAAATGGAAACGGAAGGATTTGGAATTTTTTAGAAATTTATTATTATGGCGTAGGTTTATACAAAATAAATTCTATCTTAAATATGGTTTTATTAAGAAATTCATTTCAATTCCGTTCTCGCTCACATAAGAACATGGTTTCGAATAATTTATAAATTTAACATTTCCGTATTTTTTTGCTGATTTATATAATTTTCTTATAATCTCGAAATAATCCATCATGGTAAATGCAACGCAATATGTAGATCAAACTTATAATGCATCTACCCGAGTTAATATTACTGAGTTAGACCTTAGTAATAAAAATTTAGAAGGACAATTATACTTGATTACTCTTGGGTTCATAAATTTAAGAAAATTGAATGTTTCATATAATCGGATAAATGGCTTTAACTTGCCTGAATCTTTAGAAGAATTTGATTGTTCTCATAATCAAATTTCATATTTTACTTATTCTCTTCCAAAAGCAAGGAAATTTAATATCTCTAATAATGTTATGACCAATTTTTCTCTAGATGCCCCCTTTCTTAGTTATCTTGATCTTAGCATTAATTCACTTCAAACCTTGGACTTGCGGTCATTAGGTGGGGAAAATGTTATAGAACTAAATTGTTCCAATAATCCTCTTACTAGTTTATCATTAAATTATTCTTCTAATCTCATTTCATTTGATTGTTTGGGCATGAAATATAATAAGTTTCAATCATCCCCAACTCAACCTTCCCCAATTCAAACTTCTTCAATTCAAACTTCCCCAACCCAAGATTCCTACCCATTTATCACCACAACTGCATTGGCTAATAATAATCCTGCTTTGATGGGATCCAACATAGCCCTCTCAGCAATAATTGTTGTAGCATTGTTAAGCTTTGGTTCATATTTTGTACGTAAACATCTGACTAGGGCAGCAAAGTGAGAGGCGAAAAGATGGAATAGTAAGACCTGAGAAGCAAAATGTTGAAATAATCCTTAATAGACCAGAGTTAAATAAATCTGAATTGTTCAATTTAGACTCTATTTTATATATTTTATTTAAGAGACTGAATCTGAGTTGTTGTAAAGTTCATAAACAGTTATTAGTTTAACTTAACAAAGTTTTAGTATCTTTATATCTTCATTATTACTATGCAAATGTGTTAAAATAATTATTTGTAAGTACAATTCTTTACCTAGTATTTTTTTTTTTAAAAAAAATCTATTCATAGTTGTCTTAAAGATTCAGGAAACAAGTATTCCATTATTTCCATAGGTCACATGTATATTACATTATGTTACAAATACTGTTTAACTGATATGCATGGTGAACACAGGTTATCGGGTTTGAAACCATTATAAACTATTAGATTTATATAATAGAACCAAATTTGGATTAATTTTTAATCGCATTTTGCAGGCTATCTGTTTTAACAGATAGTTTTTGAGGGATTCATCAGTAAATTGTTAGCACTTAATCAAAAATTTTGGAAATTACAATTCGAAATAAATCTAAGTATCCAATTAGTTTATTGTTTTTAATTAAAGTTTTTCGGCTTTTTTCAATAATAGTATTACCTATTGTATTAAAGTATACCAATTTAAACATGTACGTATATACATACGCACTTGTGTACGCGCAGAGTAACAATATAGTCGAATCATTCTAATGAGTCATAACAGCATCCAATAAGAACAGTTATTATAACAGCGAAATCTTACCATTTTATAGTGGGAGTTCTCAAGCACCTCTGTCAATGAATTAGATGAAGAGTCTGACTGGCCAGTTTGATCAAACAGACCAATCAGTTTTTTGTCGAGTTCATTGAAGAAAGTGCTTGAGAACACCCAATGCCATAAATAAGCCATGAAACCATAACTACAATCATTACCGAAAAGGTTCTTGAAACTTCCCAATAAATTCTAGCATCCAAGAGAACTCATTTAAGCCAAATTAAAATTTTTATATAGAATGCATTAACGATCCATGATCATGCCCAATAGGATTCCTATTTACTAATTAATCAAAATCTTTGATAATAATGATACTTTGAACCTCTCAAAACCGATCCTACCAAAATCGAACAAAGTTTTTTTTAAAATTTAACATAACAAGGCAATTTTAAACAAAAACGTTTTCACTTATCTTCATTTTCAATATAATTTGATATTGTCCAATAAACGGTAGGTATATTTGCCTTCTAAGCGAAGTTCACCGGAAGTATAATATTTTTATTTGAACCTGAAAAATACTAATTCACCAAGTTTGTCTCTGTTATATAAATATAATAACGTGGAACCTCTCAAAACAGATCCTGCCAAAACCGATAACCTACAAAATGCGTTAAAAATTAATTCACCAAGTTTGTTATGTAAATCTAATACTGTTGTTAAACCTCTCAAAACTGTTCCTGCCAAAACCGACAACCTGCAAAATAGTGATGGTAATGACCTGGTCATTTGCAAATTTTTTAAATGACCTCAAATGACCTCGAAATGACCGGTCATTGTCGGTCAATTCAATTTTAGGTCATTTGGAAATGACCCAGGTCATTTGAGGGTCATTTAGTCATTAAGGTATTGTGATATAGAGTTGTATCTCAGATCTAATTTTCTACGTTGATTGATCAACTTTAATTGCATAACGATAATCATATAATTTCAAATTAGCTGAGTTGGGCTAGGTATTTTAGGCTCGGGCCCAAGCCCAATAAAATTCATATGCCCGACCCAATCCAGGAATAGAAAATTACCTGACCGTTTGATCGAAATTTAAATATCACAAATCATCAAACCATGACAAGATCATTTGGGTTATTAAGTTCACTTAGGTCATTTGCATATAAAATAATTTATAAAAGTTATCAAATTTATTACTTTCTTAATCGATAATAATAGCTATATATTAAAGTCAAAATTTTATTAATTCAATTAATATTTATGTCTTAAGTTGTTCGAAATAATAAATTGCACATAGTTTGAAATTTCATATAAATCGAAAAATTTTATAACGTGCACAAGTGAATTAATAAAAGCTCTTTAGTTTTACATGAAAATTTTAGAATATATGCAATTTATTATTTCGAACAAGTTTATTTAAACATTATATTAAATAACTTAGTAAAATTCATATCCACCGATTTGATTTTTAGGGGTCTTTTTTCGATAAACCATTACACAAACTTCTGCTATTAAGTGACGTAA